AGCAAACCAAGGTTACAAGCAGGGCCTGGATTTGAATCCAGATAGTCTTGATGCCTAAGCGCATAGGTCTGACCACCTTGGCACAGCGACAGCCAAGCACACAGGCCCCCCTGGGCCCCTTGCATAGTCCGAAGGGTCACGGGGTCCACCACACAACTCCTGCAGTCCCCAGCGTCCCCAGCCTACTTCCACCCTCCCGCCATCCAGGTCTGAACTTGGAACCCTCTCCTGAGACAGTCCACCAGACTTGGCCTTGCTTCCCTCCTGCCCTCGCTGCCCTCCAACCAGCTCGAGCCCACCGGCAACTCACCGCCCCAAAGCAGGTCACTGAGCCGTTCTGGGGCCGACACTCGGAGTGACACGGCAGACAGTACCTGTCCTTCACATATTCCCGGGGTAGCCTGATGGAGGGGGTGGCTGATGAGGGTGGGGGGGTCTGGAAGGAGCCCCTGTGCCCTCTCCCTGGCCGCCCCCCTGCCCCGCCCCGCATACCCCTGCAGTACTCGGCATTCCTCCACGCACTCCTGGCCCCGAAGGAATTGGCTGCAGTTGACGCACTGGGTGGGCCCCGGACCCCAGCAGTGCCCATGGGCGCACAGCGGGTAGCAGGCCAGGCCCTCGCCCACTGCAGTCAGTGAGGAGGAAGGGGTCAGAGGGGCCACTCAAGGGAGGTTCCAGGTCCAAGTGACCCAGGGGAGGAGGCTGGGGGGGGTGGCGGCCGTGGCCCAGAGCAGTGGGCACAGGTGCTGGGCAATGCAGGGGAAAACAAAGAGCTGAAGTTCCAGGGCCAGAGAGGAAAGGGAAGGCAGGGACGCCAAGGCAGTGTGGCAGGACCCAGCCAGAAGCCATGCCCAGAGGTCAAGCCAGCCAGAGCTGTGTCAGGAATGGGGCAGCAGGGACAGGCAGTCTGTATGAATCTGAGATTGCTGCTGCTAGGCCACCCCGAGCACCCCTGCGTGCTGGCAGACGGGGAGCGTGCGGTGCCGGGCTCCCTGTCTTACCGCACTCGGCCTCCGGCCGGTTGGCACTGTACAGCAGGGCCTGGTGGGGGTTCCGGAAGAGCTGGTCCCAGGGCACCGTGTGTATGAAGCAGAGGCGGGCGTTGCGGTGGATGAGGGCCAGCCCACTGCCCAGTTCCCGCAGTGAGCGCAGCCCCAGCCAGCTGATGCCCAGCCCTTGCAGGGTCAGCGAGTAGGCGCCGCTGTGGGAGGAGTGCTCAGCTGTACCACGGACCCTCCCTCGTGGGCAAGGGCTGCCCTCACCTTCCTCCCGTCCCCAGCACACTCGGCAAGCTCCCGTGGGAACATCAGTGCTGGGGTCCCCGGGGAACAGGAGTGCCCACCACACCCAAAGCCTCTCCTCGGGGACCCCCTTTCCTGGTGCTCACTCATGCAGAACTCGTCCCCGGATGACTCGCAGGTTCTGGAAGACACTGAGGTTAGGCAGGCTGTCTGGCCACGCTGAGATATACAGGTAACCTGCAGGGACAGGGGGAGGCTAGGGGTGTGGGCACAGGAGGAGGACCCCCAACCCCGTTGGAGCAGGATGCAGAGCGGCAAAGCCCACCTGTGATCTCCTCCAGAGCCTCAAACACTCTGAGCTGCTCAGGCTGGAGGGGGGCAGTGTTGGAGGCTGGGTCTCTAGAAGGAGGATTAGGAGAAGAGTTAGCAGGGCCAGGAAGGGGAGGGGGGGGTGCATGACCCCAAGAGCTGGCCCAGCCACCCTTCCCCACCCCCCTCCATTAATGACTTCACTTAAACCCTTTGCCCATCAAGCCCGGCTGTTTTCATCCTGAGTTTCAAAGCCCAGGCCCTAGTTTGGCAGGGTCTGTCAAAACAGTATTTATATCCTTTGATCTAGAAATCCTACTTCTAGGAATGTGGCCTAGACAGACATTGGCTCCTGTTCCCAGAGACGCGTACAGCACAGAACTGTCTGTAAGAGCGAAAACTGAAAACCACCTAGACATCCATCAGTACAGGGGGGCTGTTAAATATAAACCCCATCTACCCTGACTATAGATGAAAACTAACATTTGAAGAGCACTTAAAAAAAAAAGGGGGTACTCAGTGTCTGCCAGGCACTGTTCTAAGAGGGTATGAATATTATTAACTCATTCAAACGTTATAACCACCTTATGAGGTGCCCCCGTTCTACAGGCAGGTCACGTGATTAGAAAATGGGGGAGCCAGGTTTCAAGCCCAGGCCGCCTGGCTCCTGAGCCTGGGCTCTTAGCCGCTCTTAGCTGCACCTGCCCTACAGCTGTTGAAAGCACAAGGCAGCGCGACACAAAGTGCCATGACCAGCTCTCCAGGGCAAGAGGCAGACAAGGCTCACGATGAGCTCCCGCTTTAAGTCAAGCTCCTCAACAAAATTACTAAAGCTAGGTTTCTCTGTGTGTGTCCATGTACGTAGAAATGGTCCAGGAGAACCCACACGAGCTGTAAGCAGTGGTTTCCTCTGGAAAGAGGAATAGAGCTGCAGAAAAGGTTAAAGGGAATTTTTTCTCTTTTTTTAATACATGTTTTTATTGAAGTCTAATCCACATACAATAAAATGCAATTTTAATGTACACTTTGAGAAGTTTTGACAAATGCATTCCCTCATGTATCCATGACCCCAAATGATACACAGAACATTGCCATCACCCCAGAAATTTTATTGTGTGTCCCTTTCCAGCCTCCCGCCCCCAACTCCAGGGACAACCACTGCTCTGATGTCTATCACCACAGAGTGGTTTTGCCTGTTCTAGAGCCTCAGGTGAAGGGAACCGTGCCATGTGGCCAATCTCCTGCCTGGCCTATTTCGTGGAACATAATGTTTTTGAGCCTCATGCATGTTGTCATGTCTATCAATAAGTAGTTTGTTTCTTTTTATCACTGAGAATTCCATTGTATAGATATACCACCATCTATTTACTCCTTCACCTACTGATATACATTTGCATTATTTCCAGCTATTATGGGGGCTATTATGAATAAAGCCACTATGAATTCAAGGAGAATTTTACTTTGTCTGGATGGTTTGACTTCCATACAAGTGCACATTCGTGAAGAACACATCACTGATGAAAACAACCCCCCGCCCAGTCCCCACACCCTCTGGTCTCCCACTTGCTTCTTTTGCATTTCTGGCCTCCCGCCTCTGTCTCCCAGCATCCCCCAGAGACGCTGCCACTTCTGGGCCGGAGTTGGTGACCGTCCTGATGCTCCGCAGACCATTGTGCCCACCCTTCACTCCGCATAGCCTTACCCCTCAAAGCTCTCTGGCAGAAACGCCAGGCTCCCAAAGACCTTCTTGCAGCCGGCAAACTCTTGGATGTTGGCGCTGGTGACCGCCCTCACCTCCCGCAGGTGCTCCATGCCCAGGCCGTAGCACACTGTGGGGAGGGGCAGGCAGTGAAGGGGCCATCTCAGCCCCCACATGGAGCACCAGGGCCTCAACCTCTGGGGCCCTCTCCACACCCCCAAGGTTTAGAGAAGACACCAGCATCTTCTAGCTCTACCAGCCCCCACATGCCCACTCACACACTGACAAGAGATATGGGGGAACGTGTGGGGCTGATCCAGGGAGGGCCAGGACAGACAGTGGAAGGGAAGGACCCCCAGCAGGGTCTGAAGAGGGACGGGACAGCGGGCTAGGCCGAGCTGGGTGTGCAGAGGGACAGGAAGGGCAGCCTGGCTCAGGGTGTGGCCAGCAGTTACCTCGGGCACAGGGCTTGCTGCATTTCTCACACCGCTGTGTTCCGTCCTCAGCCGTCACCTCTTGGTTGTTCAGGGGACAGACCAGGGTGCAGGAGCCCACGTCCGTAGATAGGTAGTTGTCTGAGGAGATGGAGACCGTGGGTCCATGTGCCCTGGCCCTTCATGCCACACCAAGAGCCATGTCACCGTGCCCACAGTACAACAGTATCGATCAATACTGAAATGCCCTTACTTGACATTCATTTACGCCTCACAACAACCCTATGTGATGGGCAGTGAGACTCCCATTTTGCCAAGAGGGAACCAAAGCAGTTTTATATAAATTACTCAAGGTCATTGTGCTATTAAGTGGAGAAGCCAGGAGTTGAGCATAGTCTGTCTCTGCATTTTGAACTCTGACCTACCACGGGGAGGATACGACCAGAACCCAAGAGCCCACTCCTATCTCCCATGACAGGAAGAAAGAGGGCCCCACGTCCAAGGTCAGTTCCCAAATGCACATCATAAAGAGGGGAGCTGTTAAATAAAATTCTGATCAATCTAGACTATTGAATAAAAATTAGCATTTATTTAAGAGTGCTTAGTACGTGCCAGGCACTGTTGTAAGAGCTTTACAAATATTAACTCATTCAGGGGCGCCTGGGTGGCTCAGTCGGTTAAGCGTCCGACTCTTGATTTCTGCTCAGGTCATGATCTCAGGGTCCTGAGATTGGCCTGTACCGGGATCCGTGCTCAGCGGGGAGTCTGCTTGAGATTCTCTCCCTCTGCCCCTCCCTTTGCTCTCTCTCTCTCTCT